AAAAAAAAACAAAGACTCAGGTAAGCTCCTGCAATATTCTCTTTCAGTGGACAATTGAATGTCAACTGGCAAATTGAAATATAGAAAAAGAAACTATAATTCAACGAACTACAATCGTCTTGTGATCAGCACGAGTCGAGTCTGGTCAAGCAGCTGCATACATTATAAAAAAGATCAATGAATAAGTAGAGGCTAGAAGACAAACATAAGGATGAACAAATAAGCTTTAAAAATAACCAGAAATGACTAAAAATAAAGATAATTTCTATAATCAGCTACTCGAAGAACTTATATCGACATGAAAGAGAGGAAAGAAAAAGAAAGAATTAAGGGGGAAAAAAGAAAAGAAAAAAGAGAAGCTAAAACAAGCAGACGACCTTTTTTTATCATCCTAAAGCTCCTCACGTAAAATAAAAATCACAACTAAATTTTATTTCTGGTGATAAATTCGCAAAATCTTAAAACATTCAGTTTCATGTTATGAATCATCTCTTGCATTCCTTGAACTTCTTTTCAATATATATATATGTGTGTGTGTGTGTGTGTGTGTGTATATACATATATTATTATATATGCTCCACAAAAATAAAAAATGTTCGTTCATCTAATGAATATTCATCAAGCATTTAATTTAAACCGTAATCAAACCAAATGGAGGGTATAATTATTGATGAGAAATTCACATATGCTATTCATCACATGTCGTGATATTTACTTCACTAATCTAATGGCAACAGTCGACTTTCATTAATATACTAGTATTTGATCCTGTGCAAAATGCACAGATATAAAACACGTTTTTGTTTGTATTTATTAATTAGACATGTACTTCTATCATATAAAAATTATTACTTTTTATTAAGTTATTTTTCATTTAAAATTAATTAGACATGTATTTATTGGTGTTTTTGATTTTTAGAAAAAAAAATATGTGCCAATCATATTTTTCTTCCAACAATGCAACCATAGTGGTTACAACTCTGAATGTGCCAATCAACTTTAAGTTCTAACACTAGCCGCTACGCATTTGAATATTTTGCTACCAAATTTAGAATTAATTTAGTAACTGATCCAAAAAATAAATAATAAAAAAATATATATATTAAGGTGTAACGATTTTAGCATATTAGTGAGTAATTAATTAAAAAAAATGTAACTCCTTTTGAAGGGAAATGAAAATAGGTTTTATTAAATGCATCAGCTGGTAATTATATATATATATATATAGATTCGTAGATCAATTCAAAATTGCAGAGGCTTCTGCCGTTAATTAAACTTCTCATTTCTCACTAAAATGAAATTAAAGTGACAGAGAAATTGATAGAACACCCGGCATTATCGAAAAAAACTAGGACAAAGAGAAGGATCACCCAATTTAAGGTCCAAACGACTTATGATGAACTCAGTCTAAAGCAAAAGCACAATTAAAGAAAAAACCTGCCGATGATTTTGAAGAATAGAACTGAGAAATTGTAACCAACCGATGAATTTTGCTCAAACAACTTGGACAACAACAATACTTCAAAAAAAATAATAAAAAAAAAAAATCTTCATCAAAACGTATGAGCTAGATATAGAAAAAGAGCTTACTTGATCGATATCTTGACATGGGGATTTCTCTCCTTTCCCGTTTCATGCAAAGACGTTCACTTAATAGTGCCATCACAGCTAGACCCGTTATGTTCACAACCCACCAAGTCATCGAAGAGGGCCAACCTCCATACATAATGCAAATGAATAGGTGGACTATATAAAGGGTTGCACAGAAGTCCAGGCATTTATATGCTCTTTCCACTAAATAGAATAAAAACCCAGCTCTGTTCCAAATATGAAAAGCTGGAAATTGTCAATAACGGATTTTGTAGATAATGACGAGCTACTATATCAACCCACAAAAGTTCTTAATTTTAATAGAAGAAGAAACTGGATAATCTTGTTAACATATCATAAATAAGTAAATAACCATGGGAAATAACAGCTACTGGAAAAATTTATCATCCATTTTTTGGAATTTTTATTAGTCAGAGAAATCTCCACTGTCAGCATCAGTTTTTCTCTCCCCATGAAGAATGAATGTTTCATAATAATTCATTAATCAAGAAAACAACACACCTAAAGACGGAAATATTTTCATACTCTCTTTGAGGCCTGAGTTTCTTTCTGCCTTTATTTTCTTCAGATGTCTAAAGCTATACACATTGTCACTAAACTGCAACAAATTTCAACAGACCCCAAAACTACCATCTGCAAATAACACACCAACACGTCTGTTTTTAGTTTCCTAAGTACAAAAACTCGGCACATAAAAGACCTAACTCCAAGCAGCAAAGCTTCAGCAGATAATATATATATACAATATACATATACAACATACCCAGTATATTCCCAACTGGTTGGGGTCTGGGGGTCAGTTGTACGCAGACCTTACCCTTGTAATTATACAAGGAGGCTGTTTCCGTAGCGACCCAAGGTGCATTGCGTCGTTTGAAATATTTTTTTTTCTAGAAACATCACTAATAGAAGAAACACTAGAATTTAAATGAGCCATTTTGATCTAGTCCATTATTAGCTCTATGGCAGGAGAATTGTCAACAATGACTCTTCCAGCTCGATTTGCAATGGACAACTTCAGCAGATAACCCAAAAAAAAAAAACAAAGAAAAAGCTTCCTGATCACTAAAACAAAACAACTGAATAGCACCAAAATTAACACTAAGTACCAAAATTAAATCGACCAAAAACTCCGAAAACACCAATCGAAACCAAAAAAAACTTACCCAGCAACAGAGCTTAGAAGGATAGAAGCCATCACACACCAGCCAGTAGCTGTAGAGGCCGTAACCGTAGCAAAATCAAAAAAATACACAAGGGTCATCTTCGAAACCCGAGTCCCAACAAGAACCGACAGGAACACCCCAAGCGTCAGGTAATACAGACACTGAAGGCACACGATTTGAGCAACAATTACCCATGGATCCCAAACTGTCGCTCCGTAGAACATAACTTTATTACTTTTCTCTCGGACCAAACTCCTCAAAAATTGTAAGAAAGATTCAATCTTTCTTTCTTCTTCGGCCCTTTTTCTCAATTGGGACGAGACATGAACTGGAAAACTAAGAAACCCATATTTCTATTCGGCCCTTTACGGACTTACGACCGATTGGGGGCAACTCCGGCGCACTAAAGCACGATTCTTGGACACTTTGAGAGTGAATGCGCACGAAAACCTATGATTTGGGGAAGGAAATTCGGATATGAAGGTTTTATTAACTTTTGAGTCTGTGATTCTTGTGCTCGTCTAATGGCTGATCTGTGAATTGCTCGTCTAACACGAGTTGAGATTGAGAGGTTAGTAATGTTTATGAGATCACGAGGGTGATTTATTAAAAAAAAAAATGGAGTGGACCAAAATAAAAAAAACACGTATTCACGGAATGCAGTTTCTTAAAAAAATTATTTAGCAAAACGTATTCATGGAATACATTTTAAATTCACTTTTGTAAATAAAAAAAAAAAAGAAAACAATTTTTAAAAAAAAATGGGCGTTTGAAAAAGAAGCAAATTTTGCGAGAGCATGAGGGACATTATTGGCCGAGCGACGCATATGGGGAGATGTCTAGACGTTGTCGCTTGAGACATAAGATCATCAATATCTCGACCACGAGCAAATATAGCCATGTGTCTCGGTGAAGTCGGTAACTGCTTGTACCGCCAACAACGAGTCCGTGTAAATAAATAGAGGAATTTGGTGCAACAAGCAACATTTATCCAAACCTTCTTTGATTGACAGGAGCTCACAGTGGATGATTGAACCCAGATTTCTGACTGGCATTCCAAAAGCAAAAAGGGCTCTGCCTTGATAATCACGAGTGATTCCCCCTATACGAATTTATCAGCTTTGATATTAACACTTGCATCCACATCCAAGCGCACTGAATTTTTGGGTGGGGGTTCCATTTGAGATTTCGTTTACTATCTTCTGAACACCGAGAATGCCAGAAAGAGCCAGATGAGATTTGATAGTTATGTAATATGCTTTCAACTCCAGCAACTAACTTGAGATCGTCATTAAGGTGAGAACCATGAACAACTCGTTGTCTTTCTTTCCAAATTAACCAAGTTGAAAGAGCAAAAATTTCAAACTCATGAATTGTCAAGCTTTGTTGGTGATGGATAATAGAGATAATAGTTGGCAAACAAATGTAACTGCAGTAATGGTGTTGGTGACGGTATTGTTCTCGGGCGCCACGCATCGGCAGCACATTTCGGGTTTTTCTTCCCGAGTTGTTCTCTCGATTGCGTGTTTAGTACGAACAAAATTATTTGTGGGTTTCAAATGCTTGGCCACGTACCTCTTGACCGGTTGCTCGTATAGCATGCTCGGTTTTTGCAAGCTCGATTGTGCCGTTGATCAGTGCACCGACCTTGTCAAGGGTGAGATGATATCTTTTGTTGTTCGTTTTTTTTTTTATCTCTTTTTTTTCCTTCAATAGTTTGGCATTGAAAATTTGAGATGGTTTTTACTTGATCTTGAAATTTTAGAAAATCGGTTTGTTAGCATTGATAAATGTTTGCCTCAAATAATCATAGCTCTTGCTCCAAATTGTATACCATTTCCTGTTGTGCGTCATTTATGTTTGATGAATGACACGTGTACAAATATGACATCACCAATGCATACGTATCATTAATCAAATGAAATGAGATACGAAATCGGATACAAAATTGGAAAATGAAATCTCACTACAGATAATGCTCACATCTAATGAGTCAAGTGAAATAAATTCATAAGTCACAAATATGATTTTGTGCTTATTCTAATTAAATTATTCTGTCTATGTGCATATATATACTGCAGATTTTGGAATGGAGAATGTTAAGTTTTAGTGTGTGTCACTAATTGTGACAAGATTGGAAAATGTAGCCTGCTGGATCAAGCAGCCTTAGTTTCTTCCCTAAAGCTATCCCCAAATGGAGCTCCCTCACCATTATTAAGTTTAAATTCTAGCCATTTATGCTAGGAACAAAACGTCTTATGCATGTAACACAAAAGATCGAGAGAACATAACTCGAAAAACTTGTGTAAGTTGAATAATGAGACTACACAGAATTCTTGATGCAGAAAATTGATATCATATCTATCATATCCATGTGTTATATGGTATGTTTGTTGGTACATAAATTAACACATACCCATATCCAATTGACTACGATGTTTTTCTTTTTTTTTTTCTTCTCTAAAATACGGTCAAAAATCGAATACCAAAAGTGAAGGATGGCCCCTAAGGCCCAACCCGAACTAATCTACCAAAATAGCTTATGTATGTGTAGCTTCTTCGAAACAAAAACTCCACTTTTTTGCACAAACTTGAGCTTTTCACTATTTCAACCGGCTACGAAATTACAACACTAGACAGTTATATTCATAATTCATGTACAGCATTTGAAGCAATAAGTTTGATTTGTTGATACAAACACATTCAAATGCATTGCTTTATTAGTTCCTAAAACTTGCTCTAATGCCAAAAGCATATATATTCCACACATGAAGGAAATTTATCTCAACCCAAATCAAGATTCAAATCATAAAATCAAAACATAAATTGACAAGCAAATACAAACTGTCCTAGCTTGGGGAAAAAAAAAAAACGATTACGCCACACAAAAATCAGAATTTAAGACATCAAAGTTTCTCACCAAAACAAAACATATTAGATTAACATTCTCATGAAACTCACCGAAACATCATCTTCTTCATTCATCCTTTTTCTTCACTCCTCACAGTTGCTAAAGCTGCCACAAACATGACACTCCATAATAGATGATGGTTGACCGTTGCTCGGCTGTAAAGGAGCCAATGTACCCCCACAGCCATCTCTACTGCACATGTATCTCAAGAAAAAGTACTGGTGAGGAAAGTCATCATCTTCTTCATCTTCTTCATCATTATCCATGGGCCCCACATCATCTTCATCCATGCCATTATCATCATCACCGTCCATTTCATCCTCTTCCTCTTCCTCATCATCAGACCATTTGATCTCCGCCTTACAACGATCACAATCGCACGTAAACCCATAATCCTCCCTCAATATCTTTTGTCTTTCTGAATACTTGAGATTTACAGGGAAATAGCTCAGACAAATCTCCCTACCTGCAGGTATGTCGTGCAAAACCCTAACGACAATATCGGTGTTGCTAAAATCATTCACCGAGTCTACATAATCGAACCTACATGCGTTCGGGAGGCAATCGTGATTGAAAAATGCCGCCTTTGGGTAAATCCCGTACGCTCTAACAGACCTCGCTTTATCTTGAGTAAAGGGCTCCATCAGCCCGAATGCATTCACCTTGTCTTTAGCCAGCAAAGCTGCTGTTAGCTCCACCGAAAATCCAAACTGCCCCAAAATCGGCGAATTACAGAACGGGGAAATAACTGAATGCAAGAACATGGAGGTTTCGTCAAACGAGGGTTCGCCTTGAAGTGAAAGGAGGGTTTGGAAATTGGAAGGGGATACGATTGCGAGATTATAGGCCGAGATAAGAAACCGAGCTAGGATATGGCGGGAGTGGTGGTGGCCGGCGAGGGGAGAATCGGCGGCGCCGAGGCGGATTAAAGTTTGGCAGACGAATGGAGTATGGGAGGTGGAGAGAGAAGCTGATTGGCATTGTGGGGAGCAGAAAATCGAAGAATTGGAGCAATTAGGGCAGGCGACTGCGGGCGGGGAATTTGGGGAAATTGTTCGGAAGCAGTGGGAGCAGTAATTAGCGGTGGCGGCGGAGGAGGAGGAGGCGGCGACGGCACCGAGAGGTGCGGCGAGGTAGCTGAGAATTGGGGAGTCTCTGAGGATGACTTCGCCGGCTTTCAGAGGCCTGGAAGAGACTAGTGCTCGTCCTTTGTTTTCTGTCACGACCAGCTTTATGGAGCCATTGTCGTCCGACATGTTGGTGTGGTTTTCCGGCGAGGTTAAGATATCCAGCAAAGCAATTACAATGGAGGTAAGAATTCAAGAAAATCACTCACCGGAGGTTAGAATTTTGATGTTGATTTTCCGATGTGGTTGGCGGGTTACGGCGATTTTCGAGCGGAGGACATGAGGGAGGCGGCGGTCAGGTAGGGAACTTGAGCTTTATGGCATGTGTTTGTTTGGGCCTTGAGGCAGCCCAAGTGAAATTGTAAATTTGATATTTCTATGATTTACTGATATGGGCTAAATAGGTTATGGGCCTGAATAATCATTAACCCATGTGTTCATCAATCAACATATTGTTTGAAAAAGTTGAAACAAGGGTGCTAGAGCTCTCGGTGCTCAACTCCAGTCCTTAACGAGCTAACAAACGAGTTTGAGCTAAACTTATTTATCAATATTAACGAAGTGAACTCAAATTTTAACGAGTCTAATTATAAATTACATAAAAATTCAGATTTTCGAATCTTAACTAACCTTATTGAACCAAGTTCACAAGCACCCGCTCGTTTAACAACCTTAGAGAAAACATAAACATTTCAGGAAAACAACTACTATGTTAGTTCACATTGTTTAGAAACACTATAAGAAGATACAGTTTTGCTGTAGAGTCAACTTCAGTTACGCTATGGAGTCAACCTAATATACAAAACAATTGCTGAAATATATCATATTCTCTAACTACATCACGAAACTGTAGGTTTGTGATTGTTTTCATAGTCGTAATCAATGTAAGTTTATGACGTTGAGATCCGTAAAACTGACAAATGTATTCGAATCAAAGAGTTCGATCATTATGATTCAAATACTTTGTTACTTCATAAGACTTTGTTGATACAGCTAATTATTCACTATTTGCTTTTGAATGTGTTTCAAATTTATAACTAAGATCCTCTTGAGTAGTCAAGAACATTCACAGCTATATCTGTCAAACTATTTATTTATTTATTTATTCATTACTTAATCCATTCTCAGTTTCTACTTTCCACTGCTCAATATACCACAGTAAAAAACAAAGAAATTAGCACACACAACCTCAAATTTTCTCTCCAAAATACAATCCACCAATGTTAACAAATACTAGCACCATTACTTCACTACTAAGT